CACTTTATCCTCCCATCCTTCCTTTCCACTTCTCTAAATCTCTATATTCTTCCTTTCCACTTCTCTAAATCTCAATATCCTTCCAACCTTCCTTTCTATTCTTGTAACATCTGTCTAAAAACATGACAATTGAATCATAACCTTTACAGCATTGATATTCTAACAGAGAATAAAAAGTCGAATCCGTGCACAGTGATTGATTGATTGCAAGGAGGCAGAACCTGGTTTGGTTTGGAATCTGTACTGTTTATGGTGGATTCGTGTTTGTTTTATCAGATGATATTGTTTTTAAACCGAGGAAGTATAGGAGCGATTAGACAGTGATTTGTTGTATAAAGAATATAAATATGGAACAGTATGCAAACATCAAAACCATCTTGGGAAGATCAAAGCGGATAAGAAAATCATGCAGAATTCTACATTCGTCATGCGTTATTGTTTAACAATTAAATATCAATTCCATTTCATTTAAAGGGACTGTAAGTAAAAGTGTGAACGTAATTTTAATGGAGTGGCATGTCCGATTCACAACTGCACCCTTAAAAAGCTTTGTCTGATTAAATTTGCATGAGATACAGTTGACGTCGTATTTATCAATACAAGGATAACGAATTTCTATTTTGATTTTGATTTCTACAAAGCTTTCCAACAGAAGAAACCTCTAAACTTTTAACAAAGAGAAGATGTGAATTAACAGCTTCTCTTTTTATTATAGTTTCAGTTGAAGTAAATATTTCCATTTAGTGTGTAGCGCCGATATAAGGATTTATCTTTAATTGGATGATGAAATAGATAGAAAGATTGATGTTACCTCTATTCAATTTCTATTGGTTCAGAATAGACACCAAAGACATGACTGAACCTTGATTTGATCAGTCGCTAATGGACTCGGCATATAGGAGTAAAAGGTTTACGTACTTGCAAACTAGGGAACAAAAAATTATTAATAAAAATTCGTCTTCATTGTATCGATATAGTCGCCGACTACTGTATGTAAAACTAAAAGCGTGCCCTGATAATTTCTTTAGAAACATTTGTCAATGACGTACTCCAAAAATGAATAGTCTTGTGCTTTCAATTCTTGAAAGTTTAATGCTTGGTCGTTTTTGCATCTGAATTAATCACCATTTTGTTATTTGTGTGGTTATTGTAAATTCACCAGTTTTTTCTGGAAACTCCCGCGGCACACTGTCACAAATCACAAGGATATTTAAATAATGATAAGAAAGGTAGATTATAGTGACTTAAAGATTCCACAAAATTATATCCCTTTTTATAGAATCTTTAGACATAAAAGTTTCGTATTCATTTCCCTTTTTTATAGAATCCTTGGACAGAAAGATTTTGATATCCCTTTTAAAAGAATCCTTGGGCATGACAATGAATATGATGATTTTGCAATCATACTCTTTTTAAATAATTATTGGACATGAAAATCCCGCATATGTCCTTTTTTACAGAATCCTCCATCAATCATATCCTTCTATTTAGAGTCCTTGAGCGAGAAAGGTTAGAGAGAAAGGACTATTTAGCTTGGATGGATATTTTTGGGATAATTATAGATGATATTATATCCTGAGATGAGGAGGGGGAAGGAAATGGGGTTTAAGAGTTCACAGCATTGTTCATTAATGAATGTTTCAAACCAACACGTAATTGTACGAACAGTGTAATGCAGTCTTTAAAATAACATTTCTCTACTAAAAATATTTTGCAGATATCTTCGTTTTAATCTCTAAAATTGACAAATTTGAACCTTGGCTTGTCATGAATTCGGTAATTAATTCTTTTTGGGGATTTTTTGAAATCTTTTTAAGTTATATACAGTGAAAACAAGAAATGAAATAGAAAGACGACTTTTGGACTCATGTTATTGTTTTAAATATAGTCCAATATACAGGAGGGACAGTAATTAATTGTGTGGTGTGATCAGAAGCCGAATTTAAAGAATCTGAGCCGCGGCTTAAATTAAATTAATGTTTCAAGATTTTAGACGGCTCTCAATTGAAATCAGTTTTTGGCGGATTAAGACGCGTCTCAAATTCATTAAATTCGGACTCAGACCGTTTAACTTTATTATTTATTGTTAAGTTACTTTTAAAACTATTTGCTTTGTAACAACATTAAATACACTTTAAATGTTGCAATGTCGTCTTCCTATTCCCCAGTTTTTAGTTCTCAATGTATATACATATATTATACAGGGTGTCTCATATCATATTATATCGTCAATCGGTCTAAATTTTGATTTTCAGAACTAATCAGAAAATTTAAGAAGAATTAATCATTTTGAAAAATTGAATAAGGCTAATATAAAAATTGTCTTGTGGAAAATACTTGTTTTTTCGAGTTTTTCGTGGTTTTATTTTGACGTTAAAGCTTGGAGATAACCTAATATGAAATGGGACGCTCTGTATAAATAAATAAAAATTTTCAAATAAATTGTTCAACATTGATGTTATAGATTAAGACGACGTAAACTTGTTATTTTTAAAGGGACTGTAAGCGTAGTTTCATGTGACCCTCCATATGCAATCAATGGCAATTCCCGATTCGTATCAATACCCTAAAAGCTTTGTCTGTGCAATCATACATTTGATATAAATGTTATTAATATGAATAACTTAAGTGTGACTTGCGCAGTTCTTCATGTATGAAATATCAATATCCAACGCAATCAAACCTAGAAAAACGACAGTACAATTATATATTGATATTAATATTGATCAGATAAAGGTTTCAAGTGTACCGTTGTGAATCGGGCCTTTACAACTTGAAATTACATTCCCTGTAAGTCCCCCAAGAGCGGCGAGAAGTGTCACGAATTCCTGGATTTAGAAAAACTTGAACCCGTAAAGATGAAATGTGAATTATCATCAATCCTAGTAAAGGAAGAAATTTGTGAGTGTCTACACAGGTTAAGGTTAATAGTACATGGGGTGTCAACACACATTGGCATTACTTTTTACAGATAGTGATGGGCGCGTTTGATTTTTTTTATTTCATTCGTTCATCGTTCGTTTTCTCAGTGAACGATTGCTCCGTAAGATCATTCGTTCAAAAAAACGATTTGTTTTTTCAAAAGTTTGTAGGAAAAAGTCGTTCGTTTTGTAAAAAAAGATAGTTCGTTCGAACGGTTTTAAATCGTTTTTTTTTAATCTAAGTTTTTTTCATTTCTCAGAACGTTCCAAATCTTTCGTCCTTCGTTCGTTTTTTTTCTGAACAACACCATCGTTAACAAAAAATTTCGTGCGTTAGTTCACAAATACGATGTTATAGCTGGTGTCTCAGAAAACTTACATCAAGCAAAGTTCAGAATGGAGGCCAAACTAAAAGATAAAAACCCTTTTGTAATCGGATTTTCAAGATTGAGACTATTTTTAAAATCTCCGTACAATTTCCGATTCAATGAGCACAATTTTAGGCTTGCATAGATCTTAAAATGAGAATTTTAAAGGTTCCTAAAGTTTCCATTTGGAGTGAGAAAATTTGGTAAACATAAAGAAAATTTCCGTTTGTACAAAAGGGTCTATGCGACGTACTTGTTTGTAATCGGGTTATCAAGATTGAGACCATTTTTGAAATCTACGTATACAATTTCCGAGTCAATGAGCCCAACTTTTTGCTTGTAGATCTAAGAATAACAATTGTACTGTAATAAACTGTAACTTTACATTGAATATAAAATTCAAACGGAGATTATATTTTAGTTTTTACCTCGCTCCAGTTGGAAACTTTAGGAGCCTTTAAAATTGTTAATTTTAGATCTACAGGCCTAAAATTGGACTCATTAAATTGGAAATTGTATGTAGATTTAAAAATGGTCTCAATCATGAAAATCTTATTTTAAACAAGTCTGTAGACCCTTATTCCCCGTTATTATAACGTATATAGTAAATATTTTATAATATCTGTTATTTGTTTTATATCCATTGCAATTAAACGACTTTTTTTGCTAGGTGTCTCTGCCACGTGTAATCGTTCAAAGCATCAAGAGCAGAGACATCTGGCGGCCAACTAATTCGGCGTTTTAAGTGCATTGTATACAAAACGAATAAAAAATATTATGAAAAATAAACTATATACGAATGGGTCGAAAATAATCGATAACTATAGGTTGTAATATCTGAATGATTTGCTTGAAATTAAATTGGTTTTTACGATCCGAGTCGTATATTGCAACTTTCTGAATTTGTATGGATGTTGCGTACTTCACTATAAGTTGTTTTTAACAGTTTTCTCCTTATAGACGAAACAAATAGAAGTAAGATTAGTAACGATCAAAAGCGATTATTTTTCGCCGTAAGTCTTTACCCCCTTTCATTTTTCGCGAATATTCCCTTAAGTTCTAAAATGTAGATGTCTAGTGCTACAATAAAGCATAAGTTAGTTAATGAGGCGGTAAAAATAAAGGCAAGACATTGCGACACATAAATATCGACCCAGTCTTAAAAATAATATCATTGGTAACAAAAAATTATCAATTTTGGTCATTTCGCGGTTAATAAGCCTGTGACTGACTTTTTCAATATAGTTCAGTTTTATAAAGTTTTAAAAATTATTAATTCAAAATGTGATTTTTTATCATCGGATTTAGATGCCTTTGATTATTTTAAACTTTATACACTGAGATCCAGACTGCTCTTAAAAGCTGAATCAATTTTCCAAGACTGGGTTGACTTTAGAGTTTTACAACGACTTGGCCTTTCATTTTACCTCAAGGTTTATCAAAGTTTAAAGAATATAAGTTTATTATATGTCGTAAACGTCGCAGTACTTACTAAAAGATCAAGTCCAAAGATAAGACTATTGACAGTTCTATATGATTAAGGTTCTAAAAATCATAGGTCTTGAAAAAAGTCCATCTTTATTTGCCAGGGGAATAGTTTTTAATATAACCTTTTTTATTTTCAGGACATTAGAAGAATCTAAAATCTAGAAATTTTATATTAAAAATATATCTCAACAGCTAGAATATTATTGAATTTAAACATAACAAATCTTAGTTTATGCATGTATTTCGATATAATGCAGATTAAAAAATGATTACTACATTTACAGATCGAACAAAAAAATATTGTTATTTTTTAGTGTTGTACAGCCAGGATTTGAGCTGTACAAAACGGACGGAATGTTTACTTTTATCATATTTGTTTATATACATAATTAAACTGGTTTCGTTCTCACGATGTCAACTGCTTGTTACATAGAAATTACATAAAAATATTTAAATATTTACAATGTTACAAAATGTGCGCGATAGGTTTAAACTCCAAGTATATACCAAGTTTGTATTAAGGAGTTTTCATTTTTAAAGTTCGTGCAAAAAGTGTTTTTTTTTTAAACGAACAGCAATTTCGATTTTTAATTCATTCATGCATAATGTATTTTTAAAAGATGAAAAAGTGGAAAAAATTTGGTTTGATAAACATTTCAATCTAAGTCAATTAACGGAGTTAAAAAAAGTTTAATTTTTCATTGGGTATAAAAATTTGAACTTTTTGTCTTATATAGAAAAAAACGGTGAATATTTTAACAGATCCTGAAAGAAAAAAGGACCAAAAAGCGCAGAATAGAAAGTAAGATTACAGATACTGTGTTAACAATGATATGTGTTAATTCAGGTTTATAGCCGTAGCTTGATACACAACGGAACATACATATATTTACATACATACTAAATATTTCATCAGATCTATCGAAAAAAAAAAATAATAAAAAATGTTTTCATCTACAAGTACTTGATCTGATTTAGAAACCTACTACTTCTCTCAAACTCTAATTTTCAGATCACTGTATATTTGACCCCGATGATAGTGTAGATCTTTGATATCTCATTTTGCTAATTCAACAATATCAAATATGTACTTTGATATATAAAAAGATTACACCATAAGGTTGCAATGATACAGGGACTGAATTGAAAAATTAAAATGTGAGTGTTAAGTTTATGCTTTTTATAATACAAACTATGAGATCTGAAGAAAAAAAATACAAAAATGTAAAAATGTTTGGAGTATTTGAGATTTTTCCTTATTTACGATTGATAAACTAGATTAACAAAAAACGAATTGGACGGAATGTTTATAGATTTGTAAAAAAAAACGCTTGTTTTTTTATGGAATGATAAAGTAAATGCATTACGATGTTGGTTTACAGCATGTACAGCATGAAAATAAACTTAAGTTTATGTCTGTCACAAAAAAAAACCTTCTAAAACCGTTTTGTTTTCAAAATTCCAAAGTTAAATTAAGTTGATTTGCGTCTGTCTTGTGTATAAAAAAATTATTATTTTTGAGTTGTAAATCTTAGGTTCAAGCAGTGATCTCCATCTTATGCAGACCTAAGGATTAATAAAATTTTCTCCTCGATATCCCATGGTGGTGAAACCCTGCGGAAAAAACTTAAAATGATGGATCAAGTATTAATCCTTAAGCGCCCAAATTGGATTTCGAGATCAAGCGTTTAAGATTAACGAAAATCCACATCACAAAAATTCCGACCTCAGGTTTAACAATGTTAAGAAAATTCGGAAAAACTTGAATTTAAAACCTCACATTTTTCAGATCTAAACCCGCTTCTCCATTGGAAACTGAGACTCCCTGGCGGTCTCCTTCCTTTGGATAATCCTGGCCTCCACAATGAAGAGGATGGACACGACGTACATGAGGAAGACCCCAACGAAGGCGAGACCGAAGGACCAGGACAGATAGTTCTGCTCCCAATCCGGCATGAAATCCCTGCCGTCGCCTAGTGCTCCGAATATGATGAGGGCAATTGTTCCACAGATTGCTAAAAATAAAAAAGGTCTATCATATTATCCCTTCCCTCTATCCGGTGTTTTTATTATAAATTAAATGTCTTTTTTAAATAATAAATTTATAAATTTGATACATGGATTAACATTTTTTTTTTTACCTTCAATTGCCAATTTTTTATTTTTCTCTGGGCTAAAATATAAATTTAACATGATTTAAAAGTTTCAAATTGTTCTCCCTAGAACTTTATTGTCCAATGTACAGAATACATGTTTGAAAAATTGTAAGAAACTTTATGAGGGTTTAAATATGAATCCTGAATTGCAATATTTATCCAAATATTTTTTGTTTATAAATTAATACATTTTTTAAAATAATTTGTTTATAATTATAATTTCATTACTTTTATCTCTTTTATCATGTTCGATTTTACCCTAACTTCTCTGTCTCAAATAGTTTTAAATAAAATTATCAATAAAAACATTTATCAGAGTTTTCAGAATGTGCGTCATTAAAGGAACTGTCGATGTTATTCAAGTAACCATGTATTTAAAGATGAGCATGGTTTGCAACGTTAGCCAAACAAACTTTATAATTTGGAAGATATGGTTGTTTTTCCAGTTTGAAAACTGTTTAATTCGAACATTGTTTTAGATGCAGCAACTCAATTTTTAGAAAATCAACTTTTAAATAATCAATTTTTAAAGGGAAGATGATGGATATCCCATGAATTCTTAGTCAGAAAAAGGGTTCCTGTTGTAGATCAGAAAAGCCAATATATAAATGGAAAATTAGAAACATATAACAATTTGCCTTGAATTTGATCTAGTACAGGGTGTCTCATGAAACATGACAGTAGCAAGACTAATTGAAGGTCGTCTTTGATCTTTAGAATAATTCGCGGTATTTATTCGTAAACCTAATTTTAGCTGTAAAATTCTAGAGTTCATAATCACTATAAACCCTCGCCTTGGCATTTCCAAAATGTGGTCTGCCTTTTTTGTGCTTTCAATATTAACAGAGATATGAATAACTTCGTTAAGATTTAGACCATTTTTTTCTTATTTAATAAAATTGATATCTGAATAAAATTCTAAATATCTCTGGTATTATTGACAACACAGAAAAGGCAGACCACATTTTGGAAATACCAGTACTAGGAGAATATTGCGGTTATTTTTTCAAAAATCACACATGTTACAGTAGGTTGACGACAGGATGTCACAAAAGAATCCGAAGTTCAAAGTCGAATTTCAAGTAGTCTTGCTCCTGTCATGCTTTGTGGGACACGCTGTATTTGATCAAAATCTGATCATGATATATTTTGGGCCTATTTGTTTGTATATTTTACCTGAAACGATAAGATCGAAACCGATCCAACGAAGAACCTTGACCCTGTAGTAGTCATCAATACAGAGGAGGTACATCAAGATCATCCCAGCGCTCACCAACATACCGACAAAGCTGATCGTGTAGAAGAATTGGGTCGCAACAAAGAACGCTGAAAATTAGAAGAAAATTTAATAATACTGCTTTTAAAATTATTTTTTGATTAATGTTTAATTACAAAATCCACTGTACAACGAAATCCTGCCTATGTACTTTCTGGGTTGTAAGATATACATGATTTATTGATTTACGGGCTAAGATGTAGGAAGGACAGTTTATAAAAAAGTTATTCTTATTATTGAATGAAATATAAGTGATTTTAAGAGAAATTTGTTTCGTTAAATTTTTGTCGAATTATACAGCTATTTTTTAAATAAAAATCTTACTTTTCAACAATAGTGTGTTAATTCAAAAAATGCTTAGTTTCTTTGCCCCTTAAAAAAATTTCTGTACTAAACCTGCCGACTAATATAAATACAGTCTAGGAAATTAATTAGTGGAACAAATACCCATGTCCAGAAACCAACCACCTCTTTTTCAATTCATAAATCATAAATGGATTTTCCGGAATAAGACTAAAATATTTAACTCTTCGCAAATAGACTTACGTGGCACAATATATGTTCTAATCTCTGCATATCCTTCCGTAAACGGATTGAAGATCCATCGACAACCAGCATAGAACCGTTCATGCTTCAGATCATTATAATCAGGGAGAGATCTAAAGCAGTGAACCCACAAACCAAGCTTTTCAAACTTAGTGCCATAGAACTTAGGATCCCCCTCCAGCCAGTTAGTTGTTACAAAACTGGTTGTTACAAAAACGATCATCACAACTAAAACGACCAGGGCAATTTTTCCAGTCAGGGTTCGTTCTCTGTGCACATCGGCGTCGGCCGGCAGTGGTTCATCAAACCCCATTTTTATCACGTGAAGTCCAACTTTTATTCAAAAATAAGTTTAAATTTTCATGTTCCGATTTCACAAAAATGGTCGATGTTGATTTGCAAAACAAAATAAAATTCAATATGGCTGAAACCAGTTTTGAAGCTCAACCGGTGGTGAAAGGAAAATTTTTTCTAAAAGTTAATATATTCTATTAATTAATTTTCTTTCTTTTTTCTTATTTGCAATCAAGGAAGTTGTTTATTCCAAAGATTTATTTTTTGTGTACTATGAAAATGAAAAAGGTTATGGCTGAAACCAGTTTTGAAGCTCAACCGGTGGTGAAAGGAAAATTTTTTCTAAAAGTTAATATTTTCTATTAATTAATTTTCTTTCTTTTTTCTTATTTGCAATCATACAATTCTTTTTATAAAAATTGGAATATACATAAAGCCCCCCCCCCTCTCCTAGAATAGTGAATACCTGACAGGTAAACCACTCCCAACCTACCTGTTAATACAGACTCATTCCCTACCTTCCTATAAACGGTTTCTAGACCGAGTTCTAGCAGAAGATGGTATGAAGGACGGATAAAGAGAATGGAGGAAACAGGAGGGACAAATACTACAATTACAAGGGAACAGTTCCTTGCTGTGCTGCATTCAAATGACAGTGTTTTCTGCTGTTTACCATGTTGTAAACAAACAAACAAGATATTACCGACCAGAAATAATGAAACAAACTCTGAGTTTTTTGAATTTACACCGAGTAGAAAAATTCGAATTATTAACAGATATCCACGCCAAGATTATCTAGACAACTGGCGTACTGAGTCCCAAGCTGATACTAAAACTCTTGAAGAGACTCTCTCTGACGATGAAGATTATTGGTTTGAGAATGCTGCCCCAACAAGACTTCCAGTTATTCAGCCCCCACCACTGCAACAACAAAACCGTATCATCAACAAGTTTGAGCCTAGAACACAACCCAGCATTAGTTCTAAATCTTTAGAAGAAGATGTAATATCTCCAGGTCGGATGCCAAGGAAGAATTTCAAAACAGAATGTGTTGAGGATACAGATGATTATGAAGATGAATCTCAGGTTTCAACGTCTTTGAGCAATGAAAATGAAACTCCTGAAAATCAAAAGAAGAAAGACACAGTTATGTCAGCAGTGATGAAAAGCAGTGCCGGTACAATCCTAGACATCACAGCTGAATCAACAGTCAAAATCAAAAGATCATCAAGCCTAAATAAAACTTCAGAATCTCCAAAATCAAGAAAATCTCTTTCACCAGTCTCCAGAAAATCGATTTCTCCTGTTTCTCGAAGATCAAGTTCTCCATCACTAAGAAGATCTCTCTCCCCTGGAACTAGGAAATCAGGTTCCCCAGGCACAAGACGGTCAAAATCTCCAAATGAGGGTTCAGATGAGGGAAGCAGAGAGCCAAGTCCAGAAGTTCCTGACAGGGTAGTGTGTGCAGTTCCAGATCCTGTAGAATCAAACTCAGATAGGGATACATTCTCCAATATTGTGGTGACAGGAAGTAACCTTGGTGGAGTTGCAAACCAAGGTTTCACATCAGATGAGGAAGATGGGCCTGACACAGGAGTTCAAGTTGATGCAGTTCATCAACATGTCCGAATATCTAACCAAAATGGAACAAAGCATGAAACCTCAAGTTCAATAACTTTCCCAACTCCTGAGCCTTTAAGATTTTCTGAACATAATAATCTTCTGCCAATCCTATTCTTCCTGCATGGTGTTGGCGGTTCAGCAGATATTTGGAATTCACAAATGCAATATTTTGTTTCTAGAGGTTATCAAGTCATAGCTCCAGACATGCTGGGCCATGGATTTTCAAGCTGTCCTGACAAACTTAGAGCTTACACCTTTACAAAGCTTTTTAAGGATATAATCTCCATCTTTGATACATATGTACCGGACAACAGGTCCTGTGTTGTCATTGGTCATTCCTATGGTTGCTCTTTTGGTGCTGCTCTAGCAAGAACAAGACCTGAAAAGGTGATTTCACTGATCCTCATAGCAAGTGGAGGACCAACCCCACTTGCTCCACCACCAAACCTCTCAAGGTACCCAAAGTGGATAATGAACTTTCTCAGACTTGCCCTAGAATGCAAGTTTAGGAGCCAGCAACATAAATACAACCCTCGTGGCAAATCTATCAAGTTTAAAGAGGCATTTGATGTTCCATCTTATGTGTTCAAGTATGTTATGCTTGGTCAGATTTGGCCTGAAGGAGATGCAGGGTTTCATCGACGGATAGGAGTACCAACCCTCCTGGTTTACGGGATGAGGGACACCCTGGTATCCTTGGTGGAGGAGTGTGAGATGGAGAGAACTATACCTAAGGTAGGATGTGTTTTAATGTTTCTGCCAGAACAAACATTTTTTTAAATTGTGATTTAACAGGGAGATTTAAAACAAAAAATTCAACCTTAAGGTAAATTCATTTTCTGAAACTTGAAATTTTAATTGATTTTTTGTTTTAGTCGTATCTGGAGCTAATACCAAACGCTGGACACTGTGTAATGCTGGACACCCCTGATCAGCTGAATACTATGATGTTCAAGTTCATTAAGAAATGGACTTCAGACATCCAGACCACAACCATCTAACCACGCCTCACACATTTTAATGAATTTTTACAGTACCACTGTTTAAAATGGCAGAAATAACATGCATTTTTTTGTATAGATACAAATTCACAAGTAACTATTAACAAATATGTAATGCAGAAAACCTGGGTAACAGTATTTTTTATAAATTTTTATATCATTAGTTATCAATTTATGGGAGAAGTAAACCGTCCAAAGAAATAGAAAATTATTTCTTTACAACAAGCTCTGTGATAAATTTACATAATTTCAATTACTTTAACTATTTATGAAACCCTTAAAATGTACTTATCAAAATAAAGAAGAAAAAGTATTGATATTAATTTTTTTGATAGAATCTGACGTAATTGTTCTTAAAAGCTTAATCTTTTTCCTCTTGTTCAAAAAAAAATTATAAAAACAGTTGAATCAAGATACATAAAATTTACAACTAGTGAATATATTAATATAATTTTATCAACGCGCCCCCCCCCCACTCCCTGTAAAAAATATTTCTTGAAAATATATCTTATACCCCTGTACTTACGTTTTGTTAATTCCTCTCTGATGATATCGTACTCCTCGAGAAGAACATGTTTGCACCCGTAGAACTTCACCTCGTACTGGTGACCTTTGTCATGGAAACCATCAAAGCAAGCGTGCCACAGACCTAGGGTTAAATAGGACATTTATTTTATGGATAGGACACTAGGACATACTAAAGAAAGAGATAAGATATTTTACAGATAAATATTTCATCAAAAGGATATTTCATTGAAAGGATTTTGTGAAAAAGGGATATTTCACAGAAAGAATATTTCACAGAATAAATATTTCACAGAAAGAATATGCAATAGGATATTTCATAGAAAGAATATTTTACAAGAAGGATATTTCATAGAAAAGATGTTTCAAAAATAGGATGTTTCATAGAAAATATATTTCGTAGAAAAGATATTTCATAGAAAAAATATTTCACGGAAAGGATATTTCATAGAAAGAATAATGCATAAGAAGGATATTTCATAGAAAAGATATTTCACAAAAAGTACATTTTTCAAAAAGTATATATCATAGAAAGGATATTTCAAAAAAAGGATATTTAATAGAAAGGATATTTCATAGAAAGCATTTTTAAGAAAGGATATTTCATAGAACGGATGTTTTAAAGATAGGATATTTCAAATTAAAGATATTTCATAGAAAAGAATTTCACAGAAAGATAGGATAGATATTATATTTTAAAGAAAGGATTTTTCACAAAAAGGATGATTCAATAATAGAATTATTCATACAATTGATATTCAGTAGAAAGTATATTTCATAAAAAGAATATATCAACGATAGACTATTTCATAGAAGGATATTTCAACGAAAAGTTATTTATAGAAAGTACTTATAATAGAAAGTATATTTCTTTGAAAGAATGTCAAAAAAAGACTATTTCTTAGAAAAGATACTTTATAGAAAGGACAATTCGAAGAAATTAAATCAAATCAAATCTGACTTCTAGGGCTAGAAAGGAAATTTTACAAAAAGGATGTTTCATTGAAAAGATATTTTTCAGAAAGTGTTATTTCATGGATATGAAATTTCATAATAAGAATATTTTATAGATAGGATATTTAGTTGAAAAAATATTTCACAGAAAGCATATTTTACAGATAAGATGTTTCAAAGAAAGGATATTTCATAGAAAAATATTTAGTGAACAGGACCTTTAAGAAAAAAAAAATATTTCGTAGAAAGAATATTTCACAGAAAGGATATTTCACAGAAAGGATATTTCACAGATAAGATATTTTATAGAAAAGATATTTAATAGAAAAAATGTTTCATAGAAAGGATAATTCATAGAAAGTATAATTAGAAGAAAGATATTTCAAAAAAAGAATATCATAAAACAGCTAATTCATAAAAAGGATATTTAGTAGACATTTATTTCATAGAAAAGATATTTCCTAGAACTGATATTTCATAGACAGAATATTTAAGAGAAAGAACACTATATAGAGGATATTTCATTGAAAGGATATTTCATAGAAAGGATATTTAGTAGACATTTATTTAATAGAAAAAATATTTCCTAGAACTGATATTTCATAGACAGAATATTTAAGAGAAAGAACACTATATAGAGGATATTTCATTGAAAGGATATTTCATAAAAAGGATACACATTACACATAGAAAGGATACACATTACACATAGTAAGGATACTCATAGAAAGGTTATATTGAATGGATATTTCACAGAAAAAAATATTTCATTGAAAGGATTTTTCTTGAAAAGAATATTTTATAAAGAGGATATTTCACAGAAAATATTCTACTGAAAGGAAATTTTTTAAAAAGAATATTTCATAGAAAGATAATTTTACAAGGAGGATATTTCATAGAAAGAATCTGAAAGGAAATTTCAAAGAATAGATATTTTATAGAAATGAAGTTTAAAAAGAAAATATACTTAATAGAAAGGATTTTTAATAGAAAGGAAATTTCATAAAAAGAATATTTCATATTTGAATATTTTAAAGAATAAATATTTTTTTAAAAGAATATTTGTTGAACAGATTTTTTTGTTAGAACATGTAGGGTATATATTTAAAAGTAACTATTTATGGTATTTTTGAAATTTTTTTTTTTTTACCTAAAATAATTTCAAAAAAAGAATATTTTTTTAAAAGGATGATTTGTAGAAAGGATTTTTAAAGAAATAGTATTTTATATTTAGGATATAAAGGAAAATATCCCCCCAAAAAAAATACAAATGCAAAAACTATTTCTTTACCTAGAATAATTTCATAGAAAGAATAATTTTTAAAAAGGATGAAGAACGAATTTCCAAAGAAATAATATTTCATATTTGGGATATGAAAGAAAAGTATCCAAAGTAAAAAATATAAAAGTATTTCTTGAATTTTCTAGGCTTTAGTTTATTTACCTAAGTGAGTAAATTTTGGTCTTGGTAGTCTGGAGGAAGGGTAGGATTCTAACCAGTAGGGAGTGAAGAAACTTACTATAGTTACTATATTACAAACTAATAGTAGCAGTACAGAGCCCTACATTAATAATCATAATCATAATCATAATCAAAAGTTGAAATTATCACAGATTTAATTTTATTTATTATTTTATATAATTGCATACTTTGTAAAAAAATTTCAGAAACTAATTTTTAACTTCGAATTTTTAGGAAATCAATAATTTTGAGTTTTTTATTTGCATACTTACATTTACCTGACCCATAATTAAAACATAAAAAGGCTTAATAATCACTGGTTAAATATAGCATTTTTAAATATCACATTTTGTTCTCACTGAAATACGTATTTTGTTCGCTAACATCAGCAGTAGTAAAATATTTTTATTTGGCCCCAAGGAACGAAGAAAATCCAAACTTACTTTGATTGTTTTGTTGTTAAAATATAATTTGTGCAATTGACAAGAAATTCTATAATTCTTTTAAATTTTGCTAATTACGGTTTTTAGAAAAAAAAAACATTCCCTGATTGCTTTAATGAACTGTTCAAATGTAATTTCAACGAAATTTCAAGATGCCCTCCTTTTAAAGTGTTTATTTTTAAAAAAGAATAGATAAAATTTAATTTAACAAAACGACGATATATTTATAATACCAGAGCTGAAAACTTTAGAATGATGGATATCAAGATTAATGCTTAAACTCCTGGTTTTACTAAACCCGAGATTACTTTAATACGAATACGATATCCAAGAAAGAAGTATAAAATTCAACCAATCATTGTATAATCATGCTAAGATGTATTCTTTAACTTTTGAAAAACCGGTTTTCTCTGGTGTTATTTGTGTCATATCAATTGAACTAAACATCGATTAAATAAACGAAAGTTTTGGATTAATTAATTAATTAATTAAGACTAACGTTTAAAATGATGATGGTCCTAAAATGTGATAAAATATTTTTCTTAATAAGTTCATATGAACATGATTAATTTTATATTTGCTTAAATGCTCTAAAAGCCGGATTGAGAACAGCTTACTTTAATTCAATCAGATATTAGTTCAATCAAAATAGCATTGTATCTGTAATTGTTATCAAACGTAACTTTCATACAGTAGGGATATCCAAACATGAGGATTAAGAATAAAATCAAAAGTGTGTACATTGGAAACTGAGATTAGGCGACCAGGATTAAGGATATCTCATTCTAAAGTTTTCAGCTCAGCTCACATGAAGGTGTGAAGGGTGTCATTATGAATCAGACAAATTGAGGGTCACTTAAAATTACGTGTACAGTCCCTTTAAAGGATCTGACGCCACTTGCTGTAGACATCCTCTTTCCTACACACCTCGTCTAGTCGAGCTTGGACAGGAAATGCCTAAAAATAAAATACAGTTTAACCCAGAACTTTGGAGAATTTGAAAGAATTTATAAAATGTCGTCTTGACAAATTTCAATGGGTCTTCTTATACTATTATACCTAAATCTCTGTAATTGTACAAATAAATTAACAGCCATGAAATATGCGGGAACAGTTTTAAAGAGCTCCATATAATCGACAGTTAAAAAACGAAATATCTGCAGCATTCCATTTTCAGTTGGTTTGAAAGAAAACGATTTTTAAGTTTTTGGTTAACCTATAGTTTCTAACAAATTCTTGGGATAAAGTTTGATCCGAATTTGGATCTTTTTCAAGATTTTTCCCTTTGATTCCTTTGATTATTTATTTTTATGTATACAAATTTTCGACGCTTTTTATACTAAGACTAAATTATTTGGACTTTTTGACGGCAGTAAAAAGTCAATTCTACCAATTTTTCGGGGTTTTCCTTCAATAACACTTTCATTAATTAAAATCAGTATACAGTATCAGGAACAACCCCGGCAATTTTCTTCAAATAAATAAATAATAGTACATCCCTTGTCGCACCCCCCCCCCCTCCACCCCATTCAAAAACCAGTACTCTTTCATCAAACCTTTAACTAAATCTCCTCCAATCTATAAATCTATTTGTACAAGATTTCACAGGCGTTAAGCCCCAACTACAATTTTAATTTTAATTCTTGCTCTAAAGACTATATGCGGCATTTTCTCTTCCTAAATTATCAAACCATAACAAAAAATAGTTTTATCCATCTTGTTCGTGGATTTTGAAAGATCGGAATTTTTCTAAGGCAAATTTTTGAAATTCTGACCATCAATAAACCTTCTGTCAAGTCATGAAGCCTAAAACAAAATTCGATTTATATTAAATTTTTAAAAACCACGAATTTTCGTTTTTTTTACAATGTATACAAAGAGAAAATGTTCACAATTTAAATAATGGACACGAAGCCTAGCATATAGAAGAATCAAAGAACATTTGGTCAAAATTTAGAGGAGTTGTTTGTACGACTTTGCGACCAAATCATCTAGTTTAGATTTTTTACCAAATATCTGAATATCAAACTGACTTGGTTGCAAAAGAAAATATCAAAACTTTATCAAATATCTCTTAATATAATTATATATTAATCACCTTGGTGTAAGTCTTCACAGCTTTATCAATATCGGAGTCATTGATTCGCTCCTCAGTTCCCTCCACAAAAATCGTTCCCTAAAAGTTAACAAATACTAGAAAACTATTGTTTCAATAAAAATATTAAAAACTTGACATAAACAGGTAAGTTTTACACTTTTTATACCTTTTCCCCTTGAAATCAAATCCCCCCCCCCCCTAGAAATCACTAATTCTCCAAATTCAGCGAATAATACTTTTATAAAAATGTTTTTTTTCAATAGAATGTTTACCCCCATGCTACACCCTATACTAAGCGTTCGGTGCGTTCTGCAGTAAATTGCAGTATACTGAACGAAGATAAAGTAGTGTTTAGATTTGAGAGTGACTATATTTCTATAAATCATTCTTATAATTTAAAGGGACCGTTCACTTATTTGGGTAATTTCTTGGTAAACTAGTTGTCCTATTAGCTATTCATTGGTATTAGTCTTACTTTTCAAAGATATCTATGACCGGAGAAAAAGCCGATTTATCATGTAGAATTCCAGCGGAAAGGTATGATACCTTTGCATAGACACTATTTAAACGTTTTTTCAGTAACAAAAGCACAATAAAATCTAAAATTTTCATATTCAATGACATCATGTGTCAGCCAAGATAAAATATAAAACTTTTGATTTTTGAATTAGCAAGAAATTAACGTTTTTCGTGTTCAAACATGATTTATAACAAATTAACACGTTTACTCAGACAAACGGTTCCTAGATTTCAACTTCTTCAACAATTCACAGTCAAATGTTTGAAATAAGTTTAATTTTGAAAATAGACAATTTTAAAATAATTAAAAAAATTTAAGATATCTACAATTAACAATTACAAACTACAAATTAATTTAATATTGTAAATTTTTTTTTAATCCATGACTATGACAAAAAGCATCAAATAGTGAAAATGCAAGGACTAATACCAATGCAGAGCTAGTATGCTATTTAGTTTACCCTCAAATTACCTAAATAAGTGAACAGTCCCTTTGACTAAACTTGTAAACTTTTCCGAAAAGAACTGAAGACAATTGTATCAACCCTTAATTTTCTTATTGATTTATTTCATATCTTAAACCTGTGGCATGGACCAAACCATGAATTCTGCCAGACTAAAAAGTACAAGTTTTAAATATTCCAGGAAAAGGTTGGTTTTTATTATATTCACCTGCTTTTTAGCCATTTTTATAAAAAGTTGTTGAAAACTGAACTCCGCCAAGTTTTCCTCATTGTTCACCACCTCCTCTATATCCTAGACAAATATTTTAGCAAGGATGAGCAAATTTTATCGCAAATGTATGATCATTTTTGCACCAGCAGAAAACTATGCTGTAGCAAATTAGAAGCAACATTCATAAAATAAAAAATTAAAAAATAAAAACTCATTTAATTAGTTTTAACGAATTACAAAATTATAGTTCATTAAAAACTTAAGACTATAATAGATAATAAACCGGTATTTGGCACTATTTGGTTTGGTAAGTCCGACGCTACCCAAACAAAAAAGTCCCAACTACTGGTCTTTTAAGACTTAAGATTAGAAAGGTCGATTTGTTTTAGTTTTATCAGAAAATGTTGATAATGGTATCAAAAGATGTGGCTCTAACAATGATGAATTAATAAAAATATTAAAATGCTGCTGTTACCAACTAGGTGGGGGAGGCGACCCACATCCGTTTTACCTCCGACCCACAAAGGTCGTCAAAAATGTTGTTTGCGGTATGCTACCCCCGTTTTCCCTTCCGGCAAACAGTCTGTACTTTTGTATGCTGATCATAAACGAATGCAGCATGCCGCAAATACCATTTTATGACGTAATTAGTGGGTCGAAGGTAAAACAGGTGTGGGTCGCCTTCTCNAACTGTGAATTCGCAAGTCCTTGAAACTATATACGTCTGTTTCATTTCCATATTAATTCATCCATGTTCTCGAACCGTTGAATGCAAATACATTTCTTTGTTTTAGGATATTTTTTATTATTTTTATCTTAAAACACACAAAAATTTGATATACATTGTTTATTTTTATATACCTCTCGCACTCTCAAAGTATGTCGGTGCTTCTGCATATCCAAAATAAACTCGTTCTAAATTTAAAGACATTGTTCACAATAATTTTAGCGATCTTTTAGGATTCGTGCATTATCTATTTGCAACGGTAACCCTTCTACTTGGTACAAAAAAACGCAGGGGTGTATATTTTTCACCGGGAGGGGGGGGGGAATTATTTTTGATGATTTGGGAAAAAATTAAATATTTGGTGTGAAAAGGCACCTTTTTATTCTTTTAGATACTTTTTACCTAAATATTCATTTTCCCACCTAAAAATCACTTATTTCTGCAATTCCAAAACTAAAACCCATAAAAAGCATATTTAACTTCAGGGGAAAAAAACAATTTTGAAAAGGGGGGGAAATAGATTTTTTGAGAAAATATAAACCCCTAGAAAAATGGTCGTGAATATTTCCTATTTTCTCTTTGATTATTGACATTCTGTATGTAGATTTTAAAAAATTGAATATCTACCTGAAATCTAGATGTTTTATTCTCGTAGTCTAAAAATAAAATAAATAAATAGTTTTAAAAATTTACAACCAAAAAGAAAAATTTAATCGAAAAATATTTACCTAGTTTTTCTTTGAATTCCGCCAATTCGTTCTTATTTGGTCTAACAGGAGTTTTCAGCGTGGAATCTTCCTCACCCTGCTAAATTATTATATTACTGTATTCTCAAATATTACTGCGACAAAATCCACCAAAATGTATTTAAAAATCTGCAAATTCAGTTTAATCTATCCATTACTTTTGATTTTTTGTAATAAAACACATTATTTCACAATGACAACTCCATCTGGAGACAAGAGTTCCCTAGATCAGTGAACATTCATCTTCTAAAAGTTGATAATGGACCATTTGGTACATAAAGTTTATGTTTACCGGTTCTTTGTAAATTTTTTCATTTTATACAGAATAAAAATCTAAAAAATTCATGTATTTATCGATTTTTGATCCATTTCTGAAGTCAAACTTAGTTGCAGTAAGAATATTGATCAAGTATTACTATTATCTACTATTTTATCCTAAGGGTGACATTTACAGAGACAATGTTCTTTAATTCAATATTTGGGTCAAATGCGATCCAAAAAATATACTAATCAACAAGATCGCATTTAATGAATCAATTAAATTACATTTTAGAGATATTCCTGGCGAGAGTCCTATTATAAATACTTCAGTATGAATTTCAAGTCAGAGAACAGTCCCTTCAATTATTATGTTTCCATTTCTCTGAATATTATTAAATCTATACATCCTTTTTCTAAACCATATATCTTTGCAACCTGATATTGAAAACCTCTGATATTTCAATTGTAGATTATTTAATATAGCAGATTTCATAGTTTGAAATAAATAAGTTCTCCGACATTGGTAGCAAAGATCAAGGGATTAGAAAATCAGAGTTTGTGGCAAAAACTCAATTCCTTTGTGAAGTAATTGAGTTTGGTACCTGTTCGAGGGATCTCGAATCATCAACTCTAGTTCTCATCTCGTCTACTGCATCCTGAACAAAATTCAAAAACTCAATTCCTTTGTGAAGTAATTGAGTTTGGTACCTGTTCGAGGGATCTCGAATCATCAACTCTAGTTCTCATCTCGTCTACTGCATCCTGAACAAAATTCAAAAACTCAATTCCTTTGTGAAGTAATTGAGTTTGGTACCTGTTCGAGGGATCTCGAATCATCAACTCTAGTTCTCATCTCGTCTACTGCATCCTGAACAAAATTCAAAAACTCAATTCCTTTGTGAAGTAATTGAGTTTGGTACCTGTTCGAGGGATCTCGAATCATCAACTCTAGTTCTCATCTCGTCTACTGCATCCTGAACAAAATTCAAAAACTCAATTCCTTTGTGAAGTAATTGAGTTTGGTACCTGTTCGAGGGATCTCGAATCATAAACTCTAGTTCTCATCTCGTCTACTGCATCCTGAACAAAATTCAAATGTCACATTCGTAAA